GTAGACTTAGATTGGACATAAAGAAATACACGTTTTTTTACAGTGAGGGTGGTGAAACACTGGAACAGGTTGCCCAGAGAAGCTGTGTGTGCCCCATCCCTGGAAACATTCAAGGTCAGGTTGGACGGGGCTCTGAGCAACCTGATCTAGCTGAAGATGTCCCTGCTTATTGAAGGGGGATTGGACTAGATGACCTTTAACAGTCCCTTCCAACCCAAACTATTCTATGATTCTATGAATGACTAGACTCTTGAAAACTGAAAGGGGAGATGAACATACAATCCTCATTAATGATTTTATTTTTTGATAGAAAAATGTATTATATATTAAATACATTAAAGAGAAAAGCAACTTAAAGGTTTTCAGATTTAAAACTGCCTCAAAACTGTTCATCATGTCATGTAATCAATTTATTCCTTCTTTCATCACTTCAAAATCTGCCGTTTTGACACCACTGAACTCAGGGATGGGAATTTATCCTGAATTCTGCACACAGCGACAGTGAGGAGAGCTGCCTTCACCAATCTCCACACAAGACCCAGTTTCTCTCGACATAGCTGACTGCAGCAAGAGCACACAGAAGAGATTGGACTGTAACTATTTTGGAGTGATCCCCAAGAAAGAAGCCTTAAATAGACTAATACGTACATCTGGCAATCTCAGATGGATCATTGTGCTCCTTCAGCCCACGTAGACATTATGTTGACATCCCTAAATATCAACACAATTTTCCCTCCCCAGCTCCAGCTACTATTATTGGAGCAGGACCTAAAATTTTCATTCGTGTAAGAATATCTTGCAATGCTTATATTCATTTGGGCTCGTGCTTTCATCTTGCAACACAATATACAGTAAAAAGAAAAGTAATTACAGAAATCAGAAGTAATGTACCCATTAGGGGCAGATAGCATATTTTTTCTAGATCAAATGCACCACCACTATGGGCACTAAAAGAAACTTCAGGTTTTCTCACATCAAGGCAGAAACCCAAACCCAAACCAAGCAAAGGCTTTGCTGTGCCTCCTCCCACAGAACAGAAACTGTCTGTTTCCCAGGCATTTCCCAGCAGGCTGAGTGTATGAAACATGCCAGCCTTGCAGCAAGCTCCTTGGCAATACAACTGCTGGCAAAACCCATGGGGATCTGTGGGGCACGGGGATCATTCCTATGAGGATGAGAAAGGGGATGACATGCCACCACTTTGGCATGAATTGGGTTTGTGAAAAGAGCAAGAAAGGTGGAAGTATTTCCAATTGTGGCACAAAGGAAACAGGTTATTTACAGAAAGCAGCAAAATGTGCTGATTTAAGGTTACTTGAAGACTCCTAACTGCTCAATCCCACCTTTTTGCCACTTAAACCCTTTCCCTGACCTACTTGCACTGACCGACTTCCATTTTTCCATTCCAGGGGAACGAAGAACTTCTCGATGGATCCAGGTGATGCATGACACACCACCAAGCTGGGCTGCCTGACAGCCAGCAAGGCTTTGGCTGGCGGAGCCAGGCTTACCAGCACAGTGTCAGGCATAGGCAAGGAGGAAAACCTAGTGCATGTAGCAATGCAAAACTTGCAAAGACAGTCAGATCTTTTCCCCTCATTCATCCTCTGACAGCTTGAGTAGTGTGATGTTAATAATTCATAAGTTATCTGTGCAATAAGTTACATTCTCCTTTTAAAAATAGAGCTAGAGAAGCAAGTGTAAATAATTAATTCGAGAAGAGAAATAATCAATTAACCCTTTCAAAGAAGGACAAAAATCAATAGCTCTGACTTTTTTTCCACCTGCCTAAGCATTTCCTGACAGTACCATTCCCATGACTGCCAGTACTCCAATGCGACACGTATTGCTACATGCATCACCACCACAACAAAAGTCACAGGCAATCTGGGAAATTTGTAAGAAACTACGCATCACACAAAGCTCCCCTTCTCACCCTGACAGACTGTCTCTTCCTCTTTTCCATCCTGCTACCCAGAGCTCCAGATGCTGGGATGAAATTACCAGCGATGTGAGATGAAAACAGTTGGCGCCTGCTCACTGTGAGCCAGCCAAAGCGCGGCAGGAAAGCTGCGCCTCGCAGGAGTGGCAGTACCAAGTTTGCACTAAGTGCCAAAAAATAGGTGCTTTTTTACAGGTTTATATACCCTTTCTCCTCCTTCAGCTAAAGCTCCCTGATATGCCCAAGGCCAGATTTACTTAGGATCTGTGCTGGGTCCTCCGAGTCCTAGGAGGCAAGTGGAGAGGGCAGGACATGAGACAACTCTGAAACCGTGATGCCCTGGGTACCCATCTCCATTTCAAACACCATATGACACTTCCCACATGAACAGTTGCCAGATGGTGGCTGATCTGAATTTCACCGGACAGTGGAAAGATGAGGGATATTCCTATTTAACTTCAGTGTACACTCAGCTGTGGATAGTCCAGCTTTAAATCTCAGCAGCTGCTTACAGAACAGCAGCATGCTGTGCAAACTTGCTTGCCCTGAACAAAGTCTTGCCCACACCTTGGAAAGGAAAGCAAAGGATACTACCTTCCTTGAGGACTTATGCCCCACTAGAAATGTGATTTAGAATATGGAGAGCATGCCCTAATTTTCTCCCCCAGAAAAGCACTTGCAGGTTTTGCTACCAATTTTTCATAAGGGTTTGCTGACAAAAACCTTGAATTATGCTATGGATAGATTAAGGGAAGGAATGAAAAATAAGCTCATATTCTTCCTATGAAAAGTTTTATATAGATGTCACAGAGGCCACAGTTTGTTTGCACTGTCACTGCTGAAGCCCACGTGACAAACAGCAGGATTATTTTTGGTAACAGGGTGGAGGATGGGGAGACCGATACACAATCTGAGCTTCATGGAGGTTATCTCCATGACACTCTCTGTTATTGAAATAATAGCAGTCTTTTAGTTACTGAAAGACTTCTGCTGTATAGTTAGAAAAACACACAACAAATGGGGCATAGAGGAATTTCAGTTACTACACAGAGAAGGTTTCCTTATAACTAACCAGTACCTGGACAATCATGCGGCTATGGCAGGTCATTGTTCCTGTTGTAAATGCCATCACTTAAATTTAATTTCTCCATATGCAAAGGCCAGTTGAGGTCCACCGAAGTATTTGGGAATTAGGCCACGAAGAGGGTGAGTTAGAGGAGGCATGTTTGGGATGAGAGGCTCTGCTCAGGCTGAGTAACAGAAGAGCAGGGGTTTTTGCATGATACAAAACCCTGAATCTGATCAGCAGAGTCACTATTACCTTCTCTCAAAACCTCTCCCTTCAAACATTATAACTGGATTTGGAAGCAGTGTCAGATGATTGCTGGCAAGTGTGGATCAATAGCAAATACTTAGAAAATAAGGGCTAGCTGTAGCTTGGCAGCAATTTATTTGGTAAATCATAAATTCAGATGTAGATACTGTTAAGGGGAGGGAGACACATTTATAAGCATAAGAGACTGGCAGAAAACATTTTGAAAATTTCAGGGTTTTTTTTGTTTAAATTTACTTTTTTGATTTCTAAAAAGAAATATGGACTGTGCATTAGAATATGTATAATAAAATTGCTTGGAAAAAAAGAAATTATGTTACTGAGTTTGCTTCATAACTGCTATACATTTTGAGTTGAGCCAGATCCATTCCCACACCTTCCCTCCACCCTGTTTGTTGGTACCAACACTGAGCAGACCATTTCACTATCTGTACAGCTCCTGAAATGCCATAATTAGTATAAATCATTCACTGTGGTTTAGGTACCAATTCATTATTTATCACAATGAAAAAAAAGAAATCAGAGACAAAATGGTGCTGTGGTAAAACTTTCATGCAGTTAATGGCTTTAGTTATGATTATTGCACAAGACTTCATTATTTATTGACTTCATTATTTATAACTGTCACAATCAGTAACTTCTAAGCAGGGTTACTGAGTCAACATGGTGATCTTGCTTAGCCCTTTTAATGTTATTTGAATCTATAGCTTACAAGTCTTTCCCTTGTTTCTTAGCAAATTCCCATCATTTAAACTCACTGATAACTAAGAAAAGTAATATATTACAAAAATGAAAGACTGTTCACAGTATAGCCTTACTTCACCCCAGTGAGTAAATTTAATTTGAGAAATGACTGCAGAACATTACGTGCTACCTTAATAAACGTGTATGAAGTCCTAGCTAATAAAAATATGGGCAATATTTCCGACAAACAAGTGTTTTCACCAAAATGTCTTCATCATTTGTGTATTATTTTGCACTGTATCTATATATGTATATCAGAGAGAAAAGAGGGAAAAGTGATTTCAGATTGAAATAATCACACTTTACACACATGTTGCATGTATTATGCCCTTCTTAAAAGGCTCAAGGCAATGAAAATCAGACTGTCATGCTCAGGTCTAAGAAGTAGCCTCCAAATTTAATTTTGCTATATTATGTTTATAATGCTAAATTCCTCTATCAGCAAAATGCTCTCTACCTCTAGTGATGTTAAAGAGTAGTATACATGCAAAATTCGGAGCAAAATTTGTCTCTAAATAATATGCCTGAAAGATATTTCATCTCGTCTTGTATATTTCTATCATTTTTATAAGCATCTGAATGCAGCTTTTCACTCTGTTAAAAGGAACAGATATTTTAACAGAAAAATTACTTTGACCGTTAAAAACAGCAGTTCCTGAACTGTGCCTCAAAAATCAGGTGCTGCAGGGGAGGAGGAGAGGGTAAGCTCAGGAATGACAGCATCCCCCATCAGCAAGTAAACCTTGGATGAAAGAACCTTGAGAGAAGCCACTGCAGTAAAAAGCCCACAGGTAACCTGGGAAAGCCCATTTACAGTATGTAGTGGTTTTCATCTCAATCTCTGTCCTAGAGAGATGTGTTGGAGACATTACTAATGGTCAGTGGACTTGCACTTCTCTCCTCTCATGCGGAAATGAATGGAAACAGTATTTCTTGCCTACCCATTTTGCCTCTGCCTTTCTTTGTAAAAACACCAGCGAACGCGAGTTGCAGCCATCATCCTCCATCAACTTGAAGTGATTTCCCAAGTGAACATGCCTGGAGAACAGCACTCACGTCTCTAACGGTCCCAACAACCTGGAGGGCTCAAAGCACAAATGATTTCAGCTGAAGTTAGAAGCTGGCCAGGAAAACCTCAGTGTCACAGAAGAGGTTGCTGCTACACCAGAGGTCCTTGCAAGAGAGAAACCAATACCTCCAGTTTCTCCCCCTCCAGTCCTTCTGCTTTCAGTGACAATAAAGAGAGACTGTCACCTGCTCAGTAAGGCTGTCCCACAAGCAATAAATGCCCCTTTCTTCCCAGTTACACAATTCTCATTCATTTCTTGCTAAACCGTTTCATAGCACTCACATGAAATCTTTCGGCAGCTGCTACCCCCATCCCTAATCCTCCCTTCTCTTTGTCCGGTCCAGCAGGACCACCCTTCCTCAGCAGCGTCAGTGCTGCCATGGCCATGCCTCTTTCTCTTCCCTGGCTCACAATGCCAAACCCAGACAAAGAACACAACAAAATACACATATAGCAGCTGCGAACAAGTGATGGACTCATTCTCCCCACAGGGAATGGGAGTGGGTCCTGTGCCATCTCAGTGCATTTCTACAATAAGTAGTAAAAATGGTTTATTCTTCCCCAAGTACAGAGTTTATAGACAGGATTACTCTGAGAGGTAGTACATGTAGGGGAATATTAATGATCACTATACGTAAAGGCACCCAACACTTGCCAAGCATGATTTCATAGTTGCTAAACTTACACTAAAGGTAGGTCATCTAGTTATGAAATTTTTTTGCTGAGAAAATATAAGGAAGATATTCCCTAGAGATGCCCTGGTGACTCCAAGGAAATGATGTTTGGGATGGGTTTGATGTTGAGTGGAAGATATTCAGATCTCAAAGAAAATCCACTTGCTGTTATCAAGCATTTGAGAAAAGATTTGGTTTTTAGATGCTCAGGAGAAAAATAGTGAGGGTTTTGCACTGGTGCAAAGAAAGCAAACTTTGAAAAGAGTTTTCTGAATTCTTGCTGGTTGACCAAGTTAAATTCTTAATATATGTCAGTATTTCTCATAAGCTGAATTAGGATATTAGGAAGGGGAAATGATGGTTGCAGGGATGTTGCTGAGGTAATCTGTTAGTGATGGAGAATTTTTTTTCTCTTCTGGCAGCCTGTTCACTCAAATAGTGATGTTAATACCCTAGACAACAAGAGAAAAATTCAAGCAAGCATTGGTAGTGATACATGTACTTATTGAATCTGTGAGGGTACATTGCCTGTGCTTCTAAATAAGGAAGAAGCAGCCTGGTAAGTCACAGAAAATCCTAGCAAGTTCCTAGAAGGGACAGTTCTTAGACATATCCCAGTTTTGCAAGGATACGCTACAAAGAAGTGTTCACAGCGGTAGGAAAACTCTGAAGCTCTGATGGAGAATGCCAAAAAAAGGCATCAGACGGAGGCCTAAAACCAGTTGAAAAGTTCACAGTTAAAAAAAAAAAAAAAAAAAGGTAAGAGTTGAAAAAGGGAAACTGAAAAAGTAAGTGAATGTAATTGTGGAAAAAAAATTCAGTGAACCACAGTGCTGCAGCAGTTAGAAAAGACTGAAGCAGAAAAACTTGGTATGGTTAGTAAAGTTAAACAATATTCAGAGATAAAACATTATTAGCTGGTGAAAGAAGTAGCTTTGAAAGAATCTGTGGAAGTATTTCAGGCAAGAGTAGCAGAGTGATGAATCTACATAGCAATAAACAAACAAAATCTGAAAAAAAATAAGGAAGTATTATGGGAAAGGAAAGCACCATATTATCTTTTGACTAAGAGGACTGAAAAAAAGGAAGTAGAGTGGCATGAGAAAGCAAATTGAATGCTAGGGTGCTGAAGACGACTTTAAGAGAAGAATGATGTTTAATTGGAAGACATCAGAAGTGGATAAAATCCACAAGTATTGGTTAAAAATCCTTACCGATCCATACCTGCAAAAGTCTGGAGGGATGAAGCCCACTTACAGAAAAAGAAAAAAAGAAAAAATAAAAGGGAAAGAGGTTTTCCTAAAAACCTCTAAGTGAGCCACTGATGATCTGAGAGAGCTCCTTACTTGAAACCACCAGTGAAAACCAGAATATTTTGATGATAGGGAGTGCCTGGCAGATACCAGAACAAAACAAGAGTCTAGATGTGGTTCTGATAGATTATGCAAAAGCTTCTGAAAGCATGTAATGAAATGGGAATCCAGAAGCATCTGGACAGGGGGGGGGGGGGC